CTGGGTCCTGTCCCACGGGGAGGGTGGGGTGGGAGTTCTGAACTCTGACACCCTCTCATCCTTCTTGATAAAGTGGCAGGGAACTGGGCAGCTGGAGAGATAAGCCAGGGCTCCACGCCCGGCCATCTGGGGCCAATAGGGCCTCTGGGGCCAGCAGGGCCTCAGGGTCATCGGGGGCTCGGGGCCTCCTGGAGTCCCAGCAGGGACTCTCCCTGCCCACAATGTAAAGCTGCACTTCTGTTTGCCTACTGGGCAGCAAAAGAGCCAGGATTCCAAGTGGCCACCCTGCTGGGGCCTCATTCCAAGCGTCCCCTTGTTCCCTGCTCCGGAGCGCCAGCCTTTCATTCCTGGGATCGAGCAAGCGGGGCCTCTGCCCCCTCTCATCCCCAAGGCGGATTCGGGCAGGCCCAGGCTTTCCCCCATTAGACCTGTTTAAGGCACAGATAACCTGCAGAGTGCCTGACACCTCCTCCTCCCACTGACCCTGATGGCTTGGGAAGACTAGGTGGGTGGACCAATCTTTTGTGTGTGCTTGGCCTCTCACCACAGCAGCTTTGTCCAGGCTGCCCCGGCCCTGTGTGGGGCGCATTACCCTCTGGGGGACTTCCCAGCCCCCCCCTGCTGGCCTTAGGGTCCTGTGGGAGTGCGGCCCGGGCAGCAGCAGTGGGGGCAGGAGTTCAACCCTTGCCAGCATTTCCCTCCACCCCGACGCTACAGGGCCCCGAGGTCAGGGTTGCCCTTGACAGGAACAGTAACCAGATGTCATCTGAATAGCAAGTGTGGCGGGGGGAGCCAGGGCCAGACCCCTGTGGGGACTACACAGTGTCCAGGAGAAACTGGAACCCACACAGGGGAATTCGATGGGTTCTGGGTGCTAATCTCACCCCAGAGACGTCTCCCAAAATCCACCCTCATCCACGGGGCCACAAACTCGTCATAGGACTTTGGGCAGGTCACTTCACATCCCTGGCCCTCGGTTTCCTCATCTATTAAATGGAGGAGTTGGTCAGAATACTCTCCTTGGTCCCTTCCAGCAGTGACACTTTACAAAGTTAGGATATTTGGGTTTTCTTTCTTTCTTTTCTTTTCTTTCTTTCTTTTTTCTTTCTGTCTCTCTCTCTCTCTCTCTCCTCTCTTTCCTTCCTTTCTTTCTTTCTCTTTCTTTCTTTCTTTTTCTTTCTTTCTCTTTCTCTCTCTCCTTCCTTCCTTCTTTCTTTCTTTCTTTTTTTTCTTTCTTCTTTCTCTCTTTCTTTCTTTTTCTTTCTTTCTTTCTTTCTTCTTTCTTCCTTCCTTCCTTCCTTCCTTCCTCCCTCCCTCCCTCCCTCCCTCCCTCTTTCTTTCTTTCTTTCTTTCTTTCTTTCTTTCTTTCTTTCTTTCTTTCTTTCTTTCTTTCTTTCTTTC